GGTTTAGTCCACTTTTGTATCCTTCCCTTCAAGGCTCAGGGGTCCAAGATTATCTTCTGTGTCTGTGTTAATTGGTTTCCCTTTTCTTTGTTGAAGAGCATCTGTGCAGTCCTTGTGCCTAGTCCGCCATCTTCCTAACTCTCCACTCTTCTAACTTTTGATTTCTAATCTTCTTTATCAGAAGATTTATTCCCTTAGTGATCTTATTTAATCTTGTGGCTTTAGATGTCAGTTTTTATACTATATTAATCATTATGAAATTTATACTTTCAGAGCAGACCTCTCTACTCAACTCCAGAGTCATACATCCAACTGCTAACTTGATACCTCAGCCTAAGACGTTTAATAAGCATCTCAAAGACAACATGTCCAAGATTGAACTCCTAAATTTAAATGTTAACTCCATTCTTTCAGTTGTTTAGACTCACATCCTAGGAATCATCCTTGATGATACTCTTTTTCTCACATCCCATAAATTCTTTAGGAAATGTGCTTCTCCATACATGAGTTTGGTCTTGGATTTATACCTTCAAAATATATCCAAAATCAGACCGTTTCTTTTCAATGTCATGCTGCCATTTTGTTCCAAGCCCACCATATTTTCCCTGGATTTTAAGGTCCTCAGTGGTTTCTCTGCTTCCACTCTTTCCCTCCTATTATTAATACAGCAGCCAGAGTGTTCTTAGTAAAATGTTAAGACAGATCTCATCATCCTATATTCAAGATTCTTCAATGAAGTCTTATCTTATTTGTGGAAAAGATAAAAATCTTACATTTACTTATAAGACCCAGCATCTTCTGACTCACTACATCTTTGATCTCACTTTCTACTTACTGTTCTTCTCACTCTATTTCCCCCTCATAGACCTCATAGACACTTATAGACATGCCCCTGCTGAAATGCTCCTCAGCCAGACATCTGCTCTAGATTGGCTAGGTTCAGTTCTCACTGTTACTGTTATAGTTTTTAAATCCCTGTTCTATTATTCTCAAACCAACATAAGATGCATGACAGCTCTCTCACCTCCTTCAAGTTTTTATAACAATGCTTCCTTGACTATCTATATAAAATCATAACACTTTCCACTCCCAGCACTTATTACTTCCCTTTCTTACTTTATTTTTATTCTTTGCACCTTTCATCATTTCATTGAATATATTTTTACTCATTTATCTTACCAAATCTATCTTTTAGAATGTAAAAACAATGATTTTGTTTCATTCATTGCTGAATGTTCAGGGTCCAGAAAAGTACCCGTCCACAGTGAGAAGTAAATAAGTATTTGATAAATGACTAAATGAATTATCTATCTTTTACTTCATATCTTCTTACATTTTAAGTTTTATGCTTATCCTCCACTTTGGCTTCAGCTCCATCTTTGACCGTATTTGTTCCTTCTGATTCTTATTGTCCAATTGTGTGTCATTTATGCCCATTTCCCTATACCATTTATTTGGCTTTGTGTCCTCTTCCACCCCTTGTAAGACTTGGGTCAGGTTCAGTGTCGGTTTTTCTTTTTCTTTTTTTTACTGTTTCATTTTCCCCCTTCTCAGCCTCTGCTCTAGATTGGCTAGGTTCAGGTCTCACTGTTACTCTTACAGTTTTTAAATCCTTGTTCTATTATTCTCAAACCAACATAAGATGCTATTTGCTGTGTACAAGGAAATAGCTATGAGTATTGGTCATATATTGCATAAACCTACTCTCAAGAGAAAAATAAAGTCCTGAGGAACAAGGAAGGGAGAAGTGAGGCCAGGACAGCCTGTTTTTTGGCCCCTGGGTTAATTTTTTTCTTTGGATGTTTCACTTACGAGGAGCCTTAGATATTTCAATTAATGCTACTCTTGAGAATTGTGCCAAATATTAAAAAAGAAATTTACATTTTAATGAAATTAAACCACTCATGTAGAATACGAGTGATTATTCCATGAGTGGCTATGGTTTAACAGTCTGTAGGAACATACTGCTCCAGCTTTTTAGTCAGTCTCTCAACTGACTTAAAAAATATATATATATATTTGGTCTTGTAGATCATTCTTAGAAAACTTGAATGGTCTAATCCACAAACGACTGGTGAGTAGGATAATATGTAATATAAGAATGTGTTTACCTGGTAATGAATGTCCTCTCGTTGATGAAGATCCAAGAAGGGGACAGATGAGGCATCATAGTTATCTTTCTCTCCTTTTTGAGATCGTCGGAGGATCTAAAAGAATAACATTAGTGTTTTGGTTTGTTCTATGATGTATAAACATATTTCATGTGTGGGCATGAGGGTAGGGTTGGGGGTGGAGAGGAAAGGGAAGAAAATGTTCCTACTATGTGCCTGCTATGCATATTTCAGTTGGTATGTTAGCCACTTTACACATGATCTCATTTACTCAGACCATCCCAGCAAGTTATGGGTGTTATTACCTCTATTTCTGATCATTTAGTAAATAGTGGAACATATAATTTGAAACAAGTGTCAAATTTTTCAAGACACCCCTGCTTTTTTCATTTTATTTTATTTTTCCATTTTAGAAAGAGTTACGCCAGTCAAAACTTCTTGATTATCTATAAATGGGTCCATTCTAAGATACTTTGCAAAGACTTTTTTTTTCCCTCTAAGTCTAAGGGGATTAACAATGAGGGTAAGTGAGATGCTTTTTTTCAAAATCCTTAATCACAAGAAAATAAGCTTTGAGCTCAGAATATTAACCACAACTCACCTTGAATGGGTTCCTGAGTGACACCCTCTAAACCCCGCTTTATCAAGCTTCATGATAGTTCATATAAGGAATAGGTAATAATGTGTTACTTTTTCTGTCCCCTCCACCCTCCACCTTATGGTCACTATAAGGAGGCTTGGTAGTGCAGGTGTTAAGCATTTGGCTCCCAACTGAAAGGTTGGTGATTCAAATCCACCAGCCACTGAGGCTCTGTGGGATAAAGGTATGGCAATTTTCTTCCATAAAGATTTGTTGCTGTTATTGTTAGGTGTCATTGAGTTGACTCCAACTCAAAGTGATCCTATGGACAACAGTCCTGCACCATCCTCACAATCCTTGCTATGCTTGAGCCCATCATTGCAGCCACTGTGTCACTCCATGTTGTTGAGGGTTTTCCCCTTTTTCACTGACCATCTACTTTAGCAAGCATGATATCCTTCTCCAGGGAGTGGTCCCTTCTGACAACATGGCCAAAATAGGTGAAAAGAAGTCTGTCCATTCTCACTTCCAAGGAACATTGCGGCTGAACTTCTTCCAGGACAGATTTGCTCGTTCTTCTGGCAGTCCATGATATTTTCAGTATTTTTTGCCAACACCATAATTCAAAGGTATTAACTCTTCTTAGGTCTTCTTTATTCATTGTCCACCTTTCATATGCATATGAGGTAATGGAAAATACCATTGCTTGGGTTAAGCATGCTTTAGTCTTCAAAGCAACATCTTTGCTTCTCAAGACTTTAAAGAGGTCTTCTGCAGCAGGTTTGCCCAGTGCATAAAGATTGCAGCTTTGGAAATCCTGTGAAGCAATTCTCTGTTCTGTAGGGTCACTATCAGTTGGAATTGATTTGACAACAGTGGGTATGAGTCAGAATCAATTCCATAGCAACAGGTTTATGGAAGTTTTAGCAATGTTTGGGTGTTTTCCTCAGTTTTTTTTTTTTTT